TGCGCGACAATTCTTAAGCCAATCTAGATAAGGACAAATTTTAGAGTGACCCATGGTAATTTGCGATAGTGGAGGAGGGAGCAGTAAAAGGTAAAGAGTAGAATTTTGAAGTTCGGAAAGGCTCCCTATGCAGCGCGGGCAGAGTTTCTGTAGTGATTTCAGTCGGGCTGAATGGAACTGCTAGGAATCCTATTATCTGAGAGTAACTTTTGGATAAATCCTAAATACCTCGTCACATATTCCCTGCCATGACTGCCTTTACTTGAGTAGTTCGACATCATCGGCGTTGAGTGCTCGTATATATCCGGTCGCCATTTCCTCATCAGATAAATCCATGCTGTCGTCTCAGTGTTGTCTGACATCAGAATCTGAATGCAAACCCGCTCAGAAGCACTGAAGACCGTTTAAGAGGATGAGTCAAATTTTTCCCCATCCCTACAGCTTCCTCTCTAAGAAATTTCTGAGGTGTCAATTGCATAGTACAGTTTTCATTGCAAGAAGCAATTGGGTCACCATGAGATTGCCCAAATATGGGTAGACTTCGCTTTTCGGCTTCAGCTGCTATCTGCTGAGAGTAGCCCTTCCGACTTAGCCTGCTTCCCAATTGGTCTACATATCTCCATTGCTTCGGTCCAATACAGCATCCTTGTATACAAGTATTTATGTTCTTGAATATAAAACATATTCGACTTCCTTACATTTGAATTGGTAAAGAGGATAGTTTTGGCATGCAAACGCTCATGCAAGAAAGAGGCCGAATTGACATATAATGCATATTCGAGGTAATATCCGTAAGTGACCAAAGTTATCATGTTACTGACCTTTTCTTCCTGCCGCCAATACAGTGTGGGATAGGCTTCCAGTGCATCCAGTACCTTTAGCTTCACATCGTCAACCTCATAAACTTCTCCTTGGATTTGCTAAAAAATAACTTATTGAGGATTTTCCACACACACTTATACAAAAATCTTTTGTAACAAGTCATTTGACGTTGTGCTGCTCGCTGCATGATCCCTTTACGCAACTTTAATTTCTAGCTTAAGCAGAGCTGGAGCCAAAATCACCATGTTCCTTGCGAACTCCTTTGACGTCGCCTGCGTAAAAGGTCATTATGAAGTTGTTTAAACCTTTAATGATCACCGTTATGCGTGCGTCACTTCGTTTCTTCAAAAATATCCAACAATAGTCATTGACTATCCAACAATCTCATTGTTAATAACGAGCACACCGTTTGCGTATCCAACAGGTATACGAGCGATTTTAAAACATAAGAAGTATCAAGTAAACCACGAACAATGAAGCCTTCGAGTGAAAAAGTGGCCCATCGACGGATTACTCGGTCGCCAAAGGGTCAATGAACTCCGATGAACCCTCCAATTATCTTTCGGAAACCATGTTACCATTCACTAGTTAAGTTTTGATTGATTCAGTTTTTTTGTGGAAGGCGGAAGTGTTTTTTGCCAATCCCCCCCCCTCTGTAGATATTCAGCAGTGCCCAATTTGATGTATTTAAGTAACGCATAATTTGTAGCCTTCGCAGTTGTTGAATCCTTTCTTCCGAATTTTCTACACATTCTACTGCCAGCCGGTTTACGAGTCAGTATTTTTATTTTCCCAGACAGGTCTGATACCAATTAGCCGGACCTCGGAGAGATGGAAGAATTAGTTGGCTCGGGTGAAACTAGAATCAGGATTCGATCGCCAGCTGCGCATGGTATGCGGCGCCACTTGCCATCAGCCCACTTTCGCCCCCACGTTTAGTAAAGCACTAAATTGCTTTACAGAAACCACTCACGTATCCTTTGCCGGGCTCATTCAGCACGAATGGTATATTGTATTTGGAGGCTACGATGAGTGGGTATGGTATTTTAGTCCGTCCCTCTCCAACGAGTCGATACTGTCCTTCGGTGTTTGTAAGAACATCAGAGTTCGGTTCGCCTCTCTTCAGAGTACCGTACACAAATACACGTATCGGAAGACTAGGAGACATATCTATAAAAGGAAAACATTACTTGTTCAAGTGGTCACAAATATTAACGAATGTATTCTGTCTCGTAATTATTCTTTTTTTGGAACTATATAATAAAGATTTCCTAGAACCCTGAAGAAAGTATACTGTTTCCAAACACTACTCTACTCCAACTCCAGCCCTGCTTGACTGGCGCTCCACAGTGGGTGAATGTTGATTTTCTGTGCTAAAATACGCAGAGCAACTGAAGGGCAGTGCACACAATGGCTGGGAGGCGGATGAACGATGCGCCAGCGATTCTAGGGATTTCTTAGGTCCGCTGATTATTTTGAAAGAGTAGCATGGAGACACCTTTATGGAAAACTGAACGATCGGCTGGAATTTTGCGGACAGCTGGCTACTGCGAAGACACCCAAGCCACTATTTTAGCCTCCTCGAGACAGGTTGTTCGCTTGTCTTTGAGGAGTCTCAGTTCAGCAGCACTTCCTGGGTTCCCAGAACAGGCGTGAGTTTGCCCGAAGAGACGGTTTATGCTCGGTCTCCTCGAGGAGTCAGCTAATGCACGGTGTCCTCGAGAAACCAATTTGTTCTCGCTCACAAAGGAGCTACTTAGTGTCCGGTGTCCCAAAGGTGCAGGTGAGTGCCCCCGAGGAGCATGAACGCTCATCAGCTTCTTTGGGAAATAGGATTCAAAAACACTCGGTGGCGCATCGTTCGTAAACCAACTACCAAAATGGCGAAGCTGGACATGCCTCTACTTTCCAGCCATCGTGTCACTGCCTTTGAGTTTATAGCATTCCCAGAAACGTGGTAAGTTTCCAATTCATGGAGCGCGTAATTTTAACACCAATGTTCTAACTGGCCGGCCGTTTTATCGTTAGTGCAAATATAGCGAGAATCTTCTCTTATTCTCTCATTAGGGATCGCGCAAAAGAAATAATAAATGCATCGGCCGAGATGCGGCTTCCCGGTGACCCACAGTCGTTCACAAATTGTGTTTACCCAAACCGATCCATTATGGGCGTTTTGCGGTTTTGAAGCGATGGGCGCGTATATACCATGATTTTCGTGCACCTTATTGCATTTTCATGCAACCTTATGCGTTGAAATGTGAAATGTTGAAATGTGGCCAGATTCAAAATCGGTGTAGGTAACGTGACGAGATACGAGCAAAGCGTGAATGACGAAAAAAAGTGAGGCCAGCAGATATACGTGAACAAGGTAGTAATAATACCGTATGATCGAACCTAATAGAAGATAATTTCAATCAGAAGAGATCTTTAAACCCTTAGCGCTCCGATTCAGCTTGATAAAGGATAAAAGGATAAAGCATTTGCCGTTGATCAATCCCTTTTTGGGATGCGGCACGCATTCTACTTCCATTTGTACATTCGTAGTGGCGTTTGAATGCGATGTGGCCTATACAATGACTTGCGGGGGCCAGCCGATGTACAAGTCAGTGTTTTTATCCTCCCAGACAAGTCTGGTACCAATTAACCGACCCCGGAGGGATGGAAGGCTTGGTTGGCCCGGGCGACTCACGACCCAGGATTTGATCCCCGGACCGCTCGCGTGGTAAGCGTGCCACTTGCCACTACACCACTTCCGCCCTTTATTTATTTGTTAATTATTGTTATTATTTTATTCGTTTTTTATTCAGCTTCTTGAGACCATTATTTTGCTTTCTATGGCTAGAAGATAGCTGGGGCATTTTTTTTTATTTGGAATCTCTCATTACTGCATACATTAATAATTTGAGTTTCTCAAAACACACTTCCAATTGGCTAAATAGCGCAGTCCATAAGTCCACAAATGCGTTGCTTCGCGTGGTGCGTCTTACTGGATCGCATCGTGCAGTTTAATTGTCGTAACTTCGCTTTTTGCGTTGTACTCGTGAAGCGGCGCTATCGCAAAATGCGGGGGCATCCTCGAGGACTAAGCCTAACAGAAAGCAAGACCTCGGGGGAATGAAGATTGCTCACCCACGCTGGAGGCTCTCCTACCACCCTGAGTCTTATTCCACGTATAACAAAAAATAAATATTTGACGAGGTTCAAAATGTGTTGTCGCCACAATGCTCCCATCTCACGATGGCGCCGTGAACCCACTTAGAATTCTGCGCTCAATGTGGTTATTAATTCTTCTGGTGTTTACATTGTCGGTGCAATGCTTGTCGGGTGGGCACGCCGATTTTTCGGTTGTTGTAGGCGCGAAATGTACGTGGCTACCGGTGCCCACTGCTATGACGTCACGAGACGCTATAGGAGTCAATAATCACTTCCTTGCTGGATCATTCAAATTCACATCTTCTATCGATCGATATTAAACTCTGAGAAGAGGAAAAGAGTTCTTCTTCTCTCCCCTTCAAGGCCTAGCTTATCGGTTCTCGAGAGCAGGGGCACCAGTTACCACG